TAACCAATTGTAAACGTCTTTTTGATATTAACGCGTAAGGAGCCACGAGCTGCTCTTTCTTTTAATATATATATATATATATATATCTATGTATGTATATATTTATATCTATGTATGTATATATGTATATATGTATCTATGCATATATATTAGCAAGATAATGGTCTTGGATTTGATAGTCTTTAGCTTTGTGAATTTTGAGTTTGTTTAAATTATTCGTGTGTTTGCTTTTGTGAGGATGTTGCATATTTGTTTTCTTATGTATTTAGTAGGACTTCTGAAGTTTAAAATAATTGTTTTTTTGGCATGTATGTTAATGCCTGCACACTTATTTAATGATTTATAGCTATTAGGTTAGTTGACTTTGAATCTCTTAATGATGAACCATCACTCTTTTATTAGAGTTGGAAGTTGATGAATTTGATTATTGATCGGGTAATTTTTAAAATAATTATTGTTGAGAATATTTTAAAATTTTTGTTTTTATGCTACTTAAATGAGATTTAAAATGTTAAAAAAAAGTCAATTTTGAAGATGGAATGAATCTACTAATATGTAGTATACCCGAAGAAAGAATAATTATTTATAGTGATTCAAATGGACATATACTATTGTTGGATGGATTATAAGAGGATGCATAGTTAGTTCAAACCTGCAATATGTTAATGCTAAAGAGACAAGTAAAGTTAATCTTGCAATATCATGTAGTGTATTAATATTTAAACATTTTATCAAGCAAGATAAGAATTAAGCGAATAATTATCTTTGGAAATAATTATAAGATGGATTTATGAAAAAGTTAAATCAACAAAGTAGAATGATAGTTATGAATACATTTCTTAGAAGATAAGATAAGATTTTGTAACTTAAAAAAATGAGGATAGATTAGATATTGTAACTTAAGAAAAGGTAGGTTGTTAATTTTTTGAGTGGTAGGTTTCTGAAAGGTGAAATAAAATCTCAATATCCGTGGATTTCTCTTCTTTTTGGACTTCTTTCTCTTCTTGTAATTAGATCTTTGAGCAACACCTCCATCGAATATATGGATTGATGTAAGGCATGAACAAACTTTTGAAAAGTGGGCTGGGGTCAAATTAGCGGCCCCCTTATAAGTCGAGGCTACTTAGTGATGGAATTCCTTGGAGGATTCTCCAAGATGTTAACAATCATAAGTATCATTAGCATAAACTTTCTTCTTCAGAACTCATTTTTATGAAATTTTACCAATGTCAAATCTCTGGGGATGCAAGACAAATATCTAGTATTTTTCTTTCTCAAGAATATTTTTTTCCATGAGCCTTTAGGCTAATCTCTGGGGATGCAAGACAAATATCTAGTGTTTTCCTTTCTCAAGAATATCTTTTCTATGAGCCTTTAGTTACATATCATTTTTCCTTTTCGTTAGGACCTTTGACAATGAATTCTTGGACCTTATGTCCAAGTGTCACATCCTGATGCTCAATTTGCACAGCTTGCTTGGATTCTTTCAGAGTTACGACAACATATGTTAACTTTTAGATTTGAATTTTATTGGCCCCTGTGATAACTAGTATCTTGTGCCTATTTTTCATTAGATCCTTTCTCTTATAACCTTAAAAATTCTATGCACCTTTGATAACATTTTATGTCTATACTTTTGAGTGATTGGGGCTTGGTGTTCCTGTTGAGCCCAAAGTAATTGCTTCAATGTACCGACAAGACTTCCAATTTACCCACTTAAGGTTTACAAATTTCAACACGGTGAGGTCAATTGTAATCGACCCCAGAAATTGTCGCATAAGTGGTTACCAAGTAATTATTTCTAGACCCTTAGCTCGTTGTTGTGTTGCATTCTTTGTTTTTTAAGAGGGCTTTTTCAACTGAAGAAGCCTTAACGTTATACCTTCGCAGTGCAAATGGCTTGATTGGCAGGGTGGTGTACGGACACGAGCTGGTCTATGTCTAGCAATAATCCTCTTTATGGCTCATAAGGTTTCTTTTTCAAGGGCCTTTATAGTGATAGAAATTTTAATATATTTTGTTTGTTATTTGGGTTGTTGTGCATAATACTTTGGATGTTTTAGCAGGATGAGGCCTTCTACTATGGCTTTAAGCAGGCATGTCATGAATTGCATGCCTCGAGCTGCTCGAGCTAGTGTATTGACGCGGGATAGAGAGGGGACCTCAGACTGGCTCGGTTCAAGTGGA